TAATATAAGATCAAAGAGGGAGAAACACCAGAGAGAGAAGCATAAACGCAAACACACTTGTGCACATGTACACATGTACACGGCAGATCTATGAGGATTTTCCCCCAAGGCCTGAGAAGCCAGAGTCTAATTAATACAGTTTAGTTTATAGCTTTACATAATCCTCAAGTTGATACTATTGGAGTTTTTATGAAAAGTTTTAATTGAACTCCTTTCTGAATGTCATTTTCAATAGAGAAAAACTTTAATTTCATACTCTTTACTTTCCAGGGTTTTCATGAATAACTACAATCTCACCTTTAGTATACTGTCATTTAAAAGCAAAGCAACATTTTCATAAGTTGCATTGTAAATACAATCATAAATTGCTATTTTCCCTCATTGGTATCCCATGAAATCAAGGCCAAGGTAGCTTGGGCTCTGATTTTATATATTTTGAATAATCTGTATTACAATATCGGAAATAGTTACTTATACAGACAAGCTCTTGTGTGACTTTCAGATTTGTTTGCAGAGTTCCTTCAATCTCTTATCTGTCACGCTGCATAGATATTCCTTGGATAGAATCCAAGCTATGCGAACCCACAGAGTTATCTGCACACAAACTCCTGTGATTTTACCTCAGGTCCTGCTTCTCCAACAGTGCCCCGCACACCGGGCGGCCCAATAGGCCCAAGTGGACCAGCGTTTCCTTCTTTACCTGAAGGACCAACTGGGCCTGGAGGACCCTGCAAGACACAAAAACTATATTTTAGATGCTATGAGAAAACTTTTACAATGACTTTCTCTAAGCGAAAAACTATTTTCCTTATGGAGCTATCAGTGGTTTCTTTGGTTTAGTCCTAATGACTAATAAATGGAGTTCTGCCATTTTCTAATGTTTACTATTTCATCACACATAAATTCTCTATCATTCATGCATGGTAAAAGACCAGTAACAGTTAAATGCTTTAAGAGACTAGTCATCTACTTTTATTAGTAGGAGCTGTTTCATCAAATCGTATGTATTGTAAACTTAATTAGAAACTCAATTAATTGAAATTAAGAAAAATCATAGTTGAAGTGTTTGGTATAAGTATGAATTAAGTTTGTGTGTTTATACCCTG